TACGTTGTATGTCGGTTGAAAGAGGGTCAACCAAAATATTACAGAAAAGATAGAGGCAGGAAAAGCGTCATTGTCCTGTTCTGATGGACGTGAGACACGAGGCGATGCGCCCATCTCCACCGATGGCCCGGCAACCCAATGATCGGCCACTTCCGCAGCCGGCCGTACGTCAGCTCGTGGGTGGCTTGGATAGCGCTTCCTGAACCAGTGATTCATCAACAGAACAGTGAACGCGGTGAATTAGCTACTGGGGTGGACTCCATACGAATCTCCAATGATCCTGGTTCTTCTCTCTCTCTCTAAAGGGAAATGCAATCTGTTCATCTGCTCGACTGTACTATACTCGGTACTTCGACTGGAACTCGGGATTAAAGGATTTAAGGACTATCGATTAGCTCCGATGGTGCGAGCTCTTCTCCACAGCCTGTTCTAAACTTGGAAGCACGAAAGATGCCTAAGGCTGCAAAAATAAGCGACACGAAGCTTCTTGTCACTGCCACTTTCATACGTGAGAAGAGTGAATCGGGTGACTTGCCCCTTCTATTGCTTCCGTATTAATATTATCAATGATGAAAAGCTCATTTTTAATTAGGAATACCCTACAATTTTCAGTCTCAGCATTGACGAGCAAGATGACCTCCGTCACATAGGAAGCCATTACATACGAAGTCGTGGTTTTCAGCACTCTACATAGTATTGGTAGGATCATCAAATTTAACTAAATTTGAGGGAATAGTATCAGTCAAGGCAAGCAGACCGCTCCGGGAAATCGACGGCCGATGGTGCAAGCCGAAAGTGGTACGCAATGAGTTAGCACCGGTCTCAGTGTCGTCGATACGAAGCCTTCGTCGATGAGGCCATGACTGGCGAAAGCAAATTATTACAAAGCAGGAAAACAACAAATAAAACTCACATGGTATGAAGATAGGAGGCATCCATTCGCCCAGGACTTCTTGCGGGGTATGCCAAAGCCAAAGTCTAATGGGATTTAAGTATCCAATAATTATCGTCCGTTGACGCTCCTGCTTTTTGCCTTGATCGCTGACTTTGCTGGTAAAGGTAGTCAGTAATAATACTCTCCGCATTCTTGCCAACCAGTGCTGCCGCTGAGGTCATATTCATGTAGTCAACCGCAGGGCGCGTCCATAGAAGTTGAACTACTTCTACAAGAGTCCACAGATTTCCAATTACTAACGCAGTTTGTCCTTAACTTTACTACCTTAATCTCCTTCCCTGCTTCTAGCGGCCGGAAACATGGCTTTTGTGATCGCAGGCGAAGTCCCCTGGCATGACGGGGAAAAGGAAATGCACAAACTGCTCTGTGTTCCGGAAACAGAAAACCCTTCAGTCCCCTATCTCAGCCCTGGAGCGGGACATCTGCTCAGCAAAGCACCGTTGCTTGCTCTCGGCACGGTAGATCAAGACGGCAGACCGTGGTCAACCGTCTGGGGCGGAGAAGAGGGTTTCGCACGGCCCATTGCTCAGTCTATTATTGGCATCAGGGCGCTCGTCGATAGGGTCTATGATCCTGTGCTCGAAAACCTGCTGGGTAAGAACGCTGACGGCAAAGTGGTAAAGGCAGAAGGCCAGAAAAAGATGGTCTCAGGGCTCTCTTTTGATTTGGAGCACAGGAAGAGGGTCAAACTGTTCGGCAGGATGGTGGCAGGCTCGTTGGCTGAATCTGACCCGGCGGGAAATGAACAAAACTCAAAGGATGTCGGACGAGGCCAGGTGCAGTTGGTCGTGAAGATCGACGAAAGCTTAGGTGAGACGAGCATATCTCATAATCCTTCTTAATGGCTCTGACGATCTCTAACATGGTACAGGCAATTGTCCAAAGTACATGAATAAGAAACATATAGTGCCAGCCCTACCAGAACCAAGACTCATTTCTGACTCTCCCCAGCTTCCACAACCGGCAGTTGAACTGTTAAACCGCGCTGATTGCTTTTTTATGTCTTCCTCCCACAAAGAAGTAGATATGGACACCAACATCCGCGGTGGATCTCCTGGGTTCGTTCGAGTCCTCTCCAATGACCCCAATGGCGCTGTGTTCGTCTACCCTGAATATTCCGGTAATCGACTGTATCAGACTTTGGGCAACTTGCGGACGAATCCGCGTGCAGGATATGTGTTTCCGGATTTTCAAACTGGCGATGCGCTTTACATCACTGGAAAGACGGAGGTGTTGGTGGGCAAGGACGCAGACGCAATTCTGCCCAGGTCGAATCTTGCCGTCAAAGTTACCGTCGCAGCCGCTCGATTTGTCGAGAAGAGTCTGTCCTTCCGCGGGATTCCTGGGGAGCCGTCGCCCTACAACCCCCCGGTGCGATATCTGCGCACGGAAAAGGAGGCGCCTGCAGCGCAGGGGTCAGACCAACTATCCGTCCCAGTCACCCTGGTGAGAAAGGACGTGCTGACTCCATCAATCGCTCGCTTTCGTTTCAAGATATCCGACCAGAAACGATTTGGGAAGTGGAGGCCCGGGCAGTACGCCGTCTTTTCCTTCAAGGAAGACCTGGACATGGGTTACAGCCACATGCGGGACGACGACCCGACGAGTCTTAACGATGACTACATCCGGACATTTACAGTGTCTTCATATCCGGGAAAGGACCTTCCGGATGATGAGTTCGAGATAACAGTGCGAAAGCACGGCAACGTCACTGCGCATCTGTTCCGAGCGAGCAAGCGATCAGGGTTAGAAGTGCCCGTGAGAGGATTCAGCGGGAGCTTTCAGATTGAAGACAGCAGCGCGAAGAGCGACGTCATTCCCTTTATCGCAGGTGGAATTGGTATCACTCCTCTTCTTGCCCAGCTTCCTGCGATCGATATATCGCGTCTCCGACTCTTTTGGTCTGTATCTGTAATGGACATTGGTTTGGTACACGACACGTTCCAGCGATTCCCGCAACTGCCACGTTCGACGAAACTGTTTGTCACTCGATCAGATACGGAGACGGATCCCGATATCCTGCAGAAATTACAGGACATCAATGCCTCCGGGGCTGTGGTCCATCGCCGACGGCTGGAGTCGAAGGACCTGGACATCTCCAACGCAGAGACATGGTATCTCTGTGCCGGGACTGCCTTGAAGACAGCTGTCATGAACTGGCTGGCGGGGGAAAAGATAATTTATGAAGATTTTACATATTAAAGGCATGAACGTACGAATTGTAGGTTTTCTCGTTGATGCGCTGATCCCAATCTAGTACTCTATGTAGCTATATATATTTTATTTAAACCTTTAAAGCAGGATTGTAAGTTAAAATTAATGAACAGGTATAGTAATGACTGCACTGAAAAATTCAAGTATCCATCACGAACAGATAACATCTTCCAGCTTCACTAGTTATATAATATGTTGTAATACGTTGTGGCCATTCGCTCACTGTTGGCATCTATACGATAAGCTTAGCTTAAGCTTGGGTTATTCCCCGGGGCCGCGCATGTGGATTTCTGCCTTGGTCCCCGCGCCACTCTTCTATCTTGCCGCCTTCGACAGATATCTATCATACTATCATCTATTCAATCGTGTTCTTGCTCTGTTAATTGAGCTCCACGCAAACGGAATCTTCTTACCTACGAAAAAGATTTTTGTTATAGTGCATCGCCACTCCTTGCGATTGTCAATCAGCCATCTAATAACCTCCCTTAACGTCGATTGTGCTCCGCTGAGCGGCGCGGGGAGCGACCTTTCACCCCGCATTAATCCATCCATCCTCCTGTCGCATTTCTTTCTCTTCAGCTTTTTGTGGCGAGACGAGACGAGACGAGACGCAAATATGGTCACGTACGAAGGTGTGTATATATAATACAGCCCCCCTAGATACATTACTAAAAATTAGTATCCTGCGTGCGAAAGATGCTAACCGCCAACCCATCATCTATGTAGTCGAACACAACACCGAAAACCCCAGCTCGACCAGCACATCCCAGACCCGTCCCCGTCGCCCAGACCTGTCCACCTTTTTCGCCACCCTCTCCCAGATCACGCCCAACCCGGGCGAGACCCGGACGCGGCAGCATGCCGTCCCCGTGCCTGCAGATGTCAGCGCCGCATTTCGCACGCTGGCCGAAGCGTTCGATATCATGAGACGAGAGAATGAGATTGGTGGTGGTGGCAGAGGCAGAGAAGGAGAAGAAGGACGAGGGGAGACGCTGATCGACCAGATGATTGAAGCTCTTCTGCGAGAGGCAGAGTCGCCGCCGCGGGAGGTGGAGGGTGTGAGCGAGGAGTTTTGCGATGGTATGTACCGTACATACATACAGTACAGTCCCTTCATCGCTCAAGAATTCCACCGCTAACTGCCATTTTGTTTTACTCCATGACCAGCCCTCGACCGCATCCCCACCAAATCCCTCAAACCCGACCAAACCTGCCCGATCTGCAACAACCCCTTCCTCGACGACCCCTACCCGCTCGTCGTCCGCCTACCGTGCCACCCGACGCATCTGTTCGACCTCGAGTGCGTGCGGCCCTGGCTCCGCCTCCGGGGCACGTGTCCGCTCGACCGCGTCGACTTCGGCAAGCAGCAGCGCGAGAAGGAGCTCGAGAGGCGGCGGCAGTTGGAGAAGAGGAGGAGTAATAATAAGGAAGACGAAGAGGAGGAAGAGGAGTGGGATGGGTTGTATGCATGATATGCATGATATGAAAATGAAGTATGCTTATGCTTTTTATATATGACGAGAGCGAGATCTGCTTCCTCTTTTTTTTTCTCCCTCTTCTTTTTCCGTTTCTTTCTCGGGTTGAGTATATGTTACAGTGAGTTTTAATTCGATATCCGAGGCTTATGTCTGCATGTATGTGTGTATGTATGGATGTACACCATGATCAGCTAGGTTGGTTACGAAGAAAGCGAAAAAAAAGATACCTATCTTGATATTTTCATCAAGGCTTTCTTATTTCTCTCTCTCAGGTATGATCTGATTTATCTATTGGATAAACGACATGTTGACCATTACACTTCGTTTTAATACTTTCACTTTAAACTTAACTACGTCAAGATGCATTCTTCTGTTCGGTCTGCTCTCCCTCCTTGTTCTCCTCCTTCCCCTCCTTGTTCTCTTTCGGGCGAATGGACAGTTTTCCCACCTGATCGATCACGGCTTCGTATCCGCTCTTCTCTAGGATGCCGCTCTGATCTTTGACCACTTCTCTCGCCTCGAGCTCCTCGACCAGCTTCTGGTTCTCCTTGTTTCCTTCGAGCAGGAACTTCAGACACATCACCGCATGCTCCTTGATGTACGGGTTGTGCGCGTCAAAGCTCGTGCACGCGAGGATCGTCTCAATCCCGCCGTACTTGCGAATCTGATTCTGCACCTCGGGACACTTCCACACGAGAGACGAAAGAACAAGCACGACGAGTTTCTTGAGATTCCTCCATTCGAATTCGGACGGATCCTCCGTAATCGGCGGCGATTCTGCTCCAGAACCGGCACTGCCAGCACCAGTATCGGCGGGATCAACGTCGCTGGGATCATAGGGACGCTCGACGGCGACTGGCCCTTTTGATTGCGATTCCTTGGGCGGACTGCCGCTGCGCCCTCCCGATGTCGCTGTCGTTCCCAGGGAAGTCAAGGCGCCTTTGGGTATGCTTGCCTCCAGCTCCTTAATCAATGTAACCAGGTCGTAGACGATCTCCCACTTGACGAGGAGGTTCTTCCAGTCATTGTTTTCGGTGAGGACGGCGAAGAACTCCAGGAATTGGTAGACACCCTCGTACACCCTCTCCATATCCCACAGATTGAGCGGGAAATCCTCCGGAAGAGCCCTTCCGGCACGGATTTGGCCTTGAAGGTAGATAAGAGCACACGTCTCTGGAATGACATTCCCGCGGAACATCGTAAATATGTAGCGGACCGTGAGAACATCAACCTTTGACAGTCGCGCCGGTGCCTTTGCGTTGTTTTGCTGCGCTGGGCCAGTAACAGAGGCCGGCGAATATTTGGCTCGGAAGATATGCGTGAGGATCTTGATGACAACAGCTTGGGCGGGAGAGATGATGTCCTTTGGCTGGCTAAATTCCTGATAAGCGTGAGACATCAAACCGTTCTTCAGGATGGCTTCCATGATCTGGACCATCATCTTGAAATAGAGCTCATCATCAGGCAGATCCCAGGCCGCGATGAAGATCAAAAGTTCTCGAAGGAGGTTACGACCCGTCTCGTTCGCTAGTAGGATATGACAACGAACCGCCTGCATGTTTCTCCCACCCGTTCTCTCCCCGCCTTTGAGCCCAAAACTGTCGACAATGCCCGCCTGGATGATCATAGGAAGTGCTTCGATCTCTGCCGGTCCCAAGACCAGCGGAATGTCCGTCAACAAACCGCGCGCTTGTTCGCCGGGTCGAGGACCGTAGTCGTCATCCTCATCATCGTCCTCTTCTTCCTCCTCTTCCAGGCTTCCTTCCGCGCCCCCATCGAGGCTGCGTGAGTCATCTTCTCCTGCTGCCCCACCATCTCCCCCATCATAGTGTTGTTCTCCTTCACCCATGATCTGCGAAGTTTCTTGTAATCTTGCGATCAATTCATCCTTTGCTTCCTGCAGGGTCTCGGCAGCGGCCTGAGCAGAACGAGGCATGCTTGTATCCTCTTCTGTCACTGGTGCATCAGCCGCTGTAAGAGCGTTGTATTCATCAAAGTCAGGGAGATCAGCCCAGCATGTCCGCGGGTACCCTGCCGTTGCACTGCGGTCTATGCTGATGATGGGCCTCTTCCGCGGTTCCTCTTCTTCGGGAAGAGCAGGTGGTAGCTCTTGTGCTTTGTCCTTGAGATCTGCCCAGCCATCCACTTTAGCTCCGAGAATGGCAGTAAGGGCTGCGCGAATCTCTTTCACTTGTTCCGGGTCCTTACCCATTTCTTGTATCTCCATCAAATCCCGCCCAAGGAGCTTCTCCATGTGATCTTTGATGTTGGCAAGCAAAAGCATAGCAGCCTCTTCCTTGATATTGGCAGGTTCCCGGGGAAAATTCGAGATTGTTTCCAGCAACAAATCCTCTGCAGTTTGGTCATAGAGAGCTCTAATGGGAGGATTGTCCAATCTTTCACCGGCCATCACCACAGGAGCAATACCCTGAGGGGTACTGTAATTGGGATCAAAAGGCTCCTTGGGTGTGATGATCTTCGAATCTCCAGTCGTTGGGTATCCGAACAGATCCAGCCAGAGGACAAGCTTTCGTTGCTCATTGTGCATGATGAAGTTGTGCAGAAATTGGAGGCAGGTGATCAGTAGACGCTTATAGAGATTGACGACTTTTTGCCAGCGTTCCTCGTTCCTGGCATTGGTCTCGCCATCAAAGCCTCTCGCAGTCACTCTCACGCACGTATCTATCAAAGCCAAGATCCGCTGGTCAAACCCTTTCTCAGCAGCCAGATTTTGCGCCCTTTTCGTAGTCGCAAGAAGGTTCCGGGCAATTGTACAAAGATCGTTAAGTCGCTCAATGTCCTTGACCAAGGTGAAATAGTTGAACGCTATCAAGTTGGACGACGAATTCTCATAGTTCGCAGACGGAGGGCTTTTCCAGGAGAAGGATTGCGACTCCAGGACGGGGATGGCCTTCGTGAGGACGTCCGTCAGGCCTTGCCATATGTCTGGTGACAACCCAAGACTTTGTCTGTGCGGAGATGCGAATCAGTACGAGGTCGTCGAACAAAACAGAAAACGCATGGTGCTTATGGATACACACCTAACGTCGCTCTCCTGGTGAGTCTTGTACAGAATCTGCTTACCAGCTGACAGCATATGCTCCAGCCGTTTGTCGTCGATCATGCCTGGAGTCTCATAGTGGCTCAGAGTCCCCGCCAGGATGACCTTCAGCATCAGTTCTGCCGGCGTGCATTTTGGCCTCGCCTCTCCGGCTGGTCTTGCCTCTCCAGCAGGTTGGTCCGCCATTTCGACCAGCAGCGGAGGCCGAGTGTTCACAAGGCTGATAGCTGTGAGACGCAAGAGAATCTAGAATAATATGTGGGATTCAAAACTCCACCTTGTGGTGGTACAGTGGGTGGGTGGCGGAGTTTTTCCGCTCCGGACGGATCTGCCCTAGGGGGAAAGTGCTTTTGCTTACGATATCAGGCAAGGAAGGCGCTTGGGGTTATAGTAAGAATAACTAAAAATAATATCTTTCTACAACTTTTGTATATGCCTCCTTATCCAATTATCGCACAGGTAAGTTCAAGGCGTCGCGCAAATTGCGCCAAAACCCAAGATCATAGATGTTATCAACGTCCTTCAGACTTTTAACCCGAACCCACCTCGGATCAACAACAGCGTTTTGGTCTTCAGACTGAATGATCGAGTTTGACCGAGTGGATATCATAAATCCAACCCTTGGGCGGTTGTCCGTCTGTGAGGATCAACACCTGATCGCTGGTTCCAGGCCATGCTGACTTGGGCTCAATCGACTCGTCTCGAGGCCTTGGTTCTGGGTATATTTCGCTCCTTTTTGCCTTGAAGACGAGGCCATCTGCTATGTCCTCCTTCCAATCATCCCACTTTGAGGTTTCATTTGTTGTCACCCCCGCCCAGACCAAATAAAGGTGATAGGAGAGAAATCCCAAGGCAAGAGGTGCCGTCATAATCGCCAGAAGAAACACTGAACCAATTCGAATATCATCGGCGATAGCCGCAGTCCAGAAGAAGAAAAACGTCGACCATGGCTGACCTTTGCTCCAGTGAGTTCCTGACGCCAGTGTAGGAGACAAAACTTGCTGTATAGTTCCATCGAGAAGCGTATAGCCCAGATATACGCCGTACAACAACAACACTGATAAAGACAGTAGCAAGGCTAGAAAATAATGGTAATTGTTACGACCAACACAATTGCTCAGCCACACACAGTGGTGATCGTGTCGAGAGATACAGGCCTTGCACAGGCTACAATGCTTGCTTCGCGCAGGCTTCAGAAGGTGGCAGGTAGGACATTCATTTCCTGGGTGGAAGAGAACCCGATCAAATGGGTACCGCTTCAACTCTTCCTGGAGATTTGAAGGCGTGACGAAGGACTTGGAGACGACAGCAGCGTACAAGAACATATATGGCAGTGTTATCGCCACTGGAACGAAGAGTCGATGTATCGTTCCAAGTCGTGGCCACGCATCTGGTACAAACATAATTTCTGACACCGACAGGATAGCTACAAAGAAAATCTGTATATCCATTAGCAACGGAATCAGCCCTATTTATATATTCTGCAAAGCTACTAACCAGTACCAACGGGTGGTTCTCACGCATCAAGTACCTCCCAGATCTATTCCAGCAATAGAGGGCCCGGCCACCTAGCAAAAAGGAGTCCACACGGACCAGGCCATTTGGAATGTAGACCCAAATGACTCTATGAATGAAGCCAATGGGGGTTCTCCTGATCGAAGCCGTCAGAACCGTTTAAGGCCCCATGAAAAGACATGTACTCAACTAACCTCAAAGCTGGAAGCCGACCAAAAAGAGCGACAAAGGTAAGAAACGAGATTCCCAAGACTGTAAGGGCCACGGTCCTCAAGAGACCCATCTTGGCGACTACCGACCGCGAAGCTCGCCGGCCTGGGAGCTTTGCAGTGGCTGGCTTGCTAAATCCACCCGTGGAGTCTACAAAAACAGAGGTAAGAGGGCAGCACTGCTTCTATTGAGAAGGTCTAGCCAGCCATATTGGCTGTGGTGGTGGTGTCAATAACAGAGGTGGACTCATTTGGTCTGCCAGGCAGATGGGTAAGCGCGACAGACGACGCGCCCCTGACCACTCACGTGATCGGATCAGAGTCGCGTCAGCCTGGACCATTTACTCACGATGCATCGACTGCAACAATGAGTTATCGTTTTCTATGGATCGCAAGCAATCCTGAGGTTTATATTAGACCAAGAAGTCTTGCTGACGTCATAAGGAACATTATGTACTGGAGTATTGTACAAGTTTTCTGAGTAACCGCTGAATACAAAGTGGCGAAGCATAAGAGACTTGTATTCAGACAACTATTTTACCATCACTACAAAGAGCATTGGATTAAAATTGTTCTTGCTTTGAAGCCCGTCGTATAGCCTTTTGAGACTTGTCAAGTATGGCAAATGCACCGGTTGTCTATACCGGTAATAATCCCAACGGCACTTCTGGAACGCTCTTTGAAGGAAAGAAGTTCTGGCTATCTCACAATGTGCCTCAACAATCCAGATTCAAAGAGCTTATTCAGGTGAGTATTCCATTCTGCTGTCGCTTGCAAGAGACTCGAGGTTTAGAAGAATAGCTAACACTCTGTAGAACAATGGAGGTATTGTCGTCCTCCAGGAGAAAGATGCAGACATCAAGCTGGTGGACCATACGAAGAAGGAAGTTCCTCTCGACACGTAAGTTGAAGGCATTCTATCTCTTTATTTTGGCTTCAAAACTCAGAGGTTCATCAGGTATTCCTACCAATATGTGGAGAGGTCCATTCGTAACGGCAGGCTTGAAGACCTCGAAGCTCATCGTGCTGGGAAAACTACTCGCCCGGTTGGGGCATATGGGATTCCAAGCAGAAGCCATCGGATTCCTTTTACTCTCGAGGATGATCAACTATTGTGGGATTACATGCAACCTTTGGAAGAGGCCGGAAGAAATGTCTCGGGCAACGTGTTCTATCAGCAGTTAGCTGAAAAGGTAAATTTCCTTGTACCATGACTCGTCGGCAGCTCTAAGGCACTGACGATATGATTTCGAACGAGCTCAGTATCCGAGGCACACCTTTCAATCGTGGCGAACCCGTTATTTGAAATACCTTCGTGGACGTCCGCGGCCAGGCGGTCCACGTCAAAGTGCTAACCCCGAAGATGAAAGAAATCCCACTGATGACGCTCACAACAATCCAACCGTACCAACTGATACACAGCCTTCATCTCTTCACCACACCGAGACTTTGAATGGATCTTCACATGAGGTAGGGAATCTACCAACGTCCGGGAGAGAAGGTGATACTGTTCCACCGAATGTTTCTCCTTCAAGATCAAGAATGGGGTCCGCGAGATCGCCGGAACGAGCCCGCGAAATAACTTCAGGTCGGCAAGGTTCTTCGCCGGTCGTAAAGTTCCGTGACAATTTCCTTACTCAACCTCAAACGCCAAAAACCCCAGACAGAAGAGCGACGACATCGCGAATGTCACCAATTCCCACAAACCGGAATGATCTGGTGGAACGCCGTCATAACACTACTGCAGTAACCACAGGAGAGATGACGGTGACGGCAGAGAGTACGAAGAAGCGAAAACGTTCATCTGCCGAAGATGGTCCGGCGATACCATCTTTTGGTGCAGAGTATCTGACGAATCGCAAACGACGGGCTACGGACTACATTCCGCAAATAGTTCCGTCAACACCAAATCAGTCTCCGCCGGTCAACACAAAGACAGTGGATGAAAGATCGCAGGACTCGACGAGCGATGAAGCAGATGCGGCGGACTTGGAAACTGCGCCGCGACCCCAGTCCACCTCAAGGAAAACAACGTCAGCTCCAGTGCAAGCCACTGGTGCGTTAACACCAGAGGAAGAAGCGAACTTGAACGCTCTCATGGAGCTTCCCTTCCCACCAATATTAACTTCAGATTCGGAGGACCTTGAAAGCACAACCAAGGATGACAGCGATGAGAAAGCGGTCCAAGACCTCGACGAGTGGATCGAAGAGCGTCTCCGCACCCGCAAGGTGAACGAGGAGCAAATCCTCACGGCACTACGCTGTACGACAATGGATCAAGACTTGGCAGATCGCGTCCTTGACTATTTGGCTGCGGGGAAAGGGATTCCTCGGGACATGCGAGGAGTCTGGACAGCCGAAGACGACGTTTCTTTGGAGGGCACCGATGCCAGAGACATTGAGCGCTTGCTGAAGAAGCATGGGACGAAACTCTACAATAAAAGGTTCAAGTACCTAGAGATTGCCCGAGCAACAATGCTGACGAGCTCTTGACGGTGATGCTTGATACCCCATCAATGCCTACACGCTACTCTATACAGGTGCATCAATTTTTTTTCTTACTACCATTACCAAGATAGATATTTTTATCCATCTAATTAGAAAGTTAACTCAGGTTGTAATTATAGTTAAATCAGATAACACTTTACGTTCCTTCTCGCCTCACTCCCATTTTCTCTCTCCCTTAAGCTAAGAGTACATGTGAGCATAGACGAAACATCAAGCTCGAAGAAGCTGAGGAAAAGCCTCCCTATATGTGATCACCCAGGCAATAGATAGGTGATCAAAGAAACTATAGGCTTTTGCCGCCCTTCCCCTAAGGAGGAAGTGCCCGATTGGTGAAAGGAAAAAGAAAAAAAATCCAGTCATCACGCCATCGAGGACGTTCAGATAAACGCGGCTAACCCAAAGCAAAAATAAGCGGGAAATCAGATCGTATAAAACGTAACCATGGAGGGGGATGGATTCGATCGATCCATCAGCGGATCTCCTGCTTTACCGCATGGATCTGCTCGCATCATCCACACTCCACGCTTGAATTGCATGTACAGTACATGCGTGCTCAAGCTTCCTTGAAAACCCTTCAAAATTTTAGTGTATGCTGGCAGAGAGTTCTTGCCGTAGACTTACAGATGTTGTTCATAAAACTTAAGCATCTAATCGATTGTTAGCTTGTGTAACTTCACAACGGGATGATGCGTAGTAGCTCACCTTCATGGGAATCTTTTCGTAGCACTGTTCAATCGATACACGAGATTTCCTCCCGTTTTGCCATTGCAGGTATGCCATCAGGCCCCCGGTCTTAGGATCTCGGATTATCGTCTCAACCTTGGCGACTTCTCGCTCCCAGTTTTTGCCCTCCGGCACCCAGTCTGGGGCCGACTCGCCGGTTTCGGGAGTATCTGTCCCGTTCGCTCCTTTCGGTTTCCTTCCTCTCTTTGCGCCGGTTGACTCTGGTGTTGACCTAGGGTCTGCCATAGACTTTCTCTTCTTTGAAGGCCTCTCTGGCGGTTGCGGCCGGCCTCCTATCGATTCGAAATACTCCTCAACAGCCTCTTTCGCCCCTTCTCTGTACGAAGCAGTCAGTATCGCCGAACTCTCAGAAGCTAGAGCAGGAGAATCTTACAGCAAATTCTCCTCCGGCTCTAATGTCTGGTCTGCCGGGTCATCATATCCTTTCCATTTAACCAAGAGGTAAAGTCCCTGATACCAAGTCAGAAGAGTCCATGGCAGGGTTGGCGCAAGGATCGGGACAACGAACATCTTTCTTGAACTCGTGACCCACAATCTTTTCGACAACGTATCTAAAGTCGTCAATCTCCAGTGTCGCGCATTGGGGCTGCATGTCGTAAACGTACATTCCTTCTCCTTCCTCGTCACTGTCTTCTTCCTCCGAAGCCTCCTCATCGTCTTTCACGTCGTCCTTCTTCTTGCCATTCTCGGAACTCTCGAAAGGAATCGCATCGCCGGTAGAGTCGTCGTCCGAAACATCCTCTGGCGCTAAAGGAATCCAGTCAGTTCGCAGGCATAGGCGCATTGTGGGGTTGAACCAGCTGGCAGGAGATTCATGCGCCAAGCTGAAAACAACACTTACGCGGAGGCATGGTTTCGCTGGAAGCCGTGTTCAACAGCGAAACAACACAACGGACGAAATCCAATGCGGCTTGTGAGACAAAAACACAACAGAAAAAGGATGAAAGCGCGGATGGCGCAAATCGAGCTTCGAGAGCAGCGTGTTCAGCGACAGAAAGGCCGTCGAGCCCAATCAATGAGGTCGCGCAAGGTCGCGTGGCGAGTGGTCGGCGACAGGACGGCGCCAAGCCCACTTGGGTAAGCAGCTCACTAGCCCGATTTGCGCATCTCCAGAAATTCTAAAAAAGGTCCCATGCGTGTGCATGTCCCACGCCGCAGTTTGCGAGAGCGCAGCACCGGTTCTATTCTACCCATCCCCGTCTGCGAAGCTCGTGTTCTTTTTATTCTCTGACGGTCTTTTTGGTTTCGTTTCGGGAGCCCTGCCGCGTGGCAGACCACCGCCAAAATGTCAAACTCAATGCGTATGTTCGACTATTACCCCTCATTCTGAACGTGGCATGGTGACTGACAGCTGTTACTCTTCCAGAGCTGGATTTATCCCAAGGTATATCCTACGGACTGCTGTTTTTCCGCACTCCCGAGCGATGCTGACGCCCTACGATAGCTGCGGTAATGAAAGATGAGCAAGGACGGCCCTTCATCGTCGTCCGAGAGTACGCATTTCCTTGGTCTCGGGGTGCTTGGGAAATTGTGTTGACTTTCTTGAAGTCAGGGAAAGAAGAAGAGGCAGCATGGCACCGAGGCCGTAAAGTCGCATATTGTCGCTGCGAAGACCGTCGCCAACATTGTCAAGACTTCACTGGTATGTCCCAAGCTTCGTCATTTCTGCGGCGGCAACCTGACGTTGGTATCTCAGGGACCACGAGGACTCGACAAAATTCTCATCTCCCCGGATGGTGATATTACCATTACGAACGATGGAGCCACGATCTTGTCGCAGGTTCGTACCATCGTACCCTTTGCCCCGAATGGGACGTTTATACTGAGGTTATAATTAAGATGGAAATTACAAACAATGTCGCCAAACTTCTTGTGCAACTGTCGAAGTCTCAGGACGACGAGATTGGAGACGGGACCACCGGCGTCGTTGTGTTGGCTGCTGCTCTCTTGGAGCAGGCGGCTGAGCTGATCGACAAAGGCATTCACCCCATCCGGATTGCGGATGGCTATGACCAAGCCTGCGAGATTGCCGTTGCCGAGCTTGACAGAATCAGTGATGAGATTCCGTTCACTAGGGAGGACACAGAAAATCTGATCAAGGTTGCAAAGACGAGTCTGGGCAGCAAGATGTATGTTATGTTATGAGGTCAGGGCATGGAAGGATTACATGCTGACTGCTCGATACAGCGTTTCCAAGGCACATGGATCAATTCGCCAAGATGGCCGTGGATGCGGTTCTCTCCGTCGCCGATCTGGAGCGG